TGAGGAGGCTGAGGGGGATGTCCAAAGTGGAGAGAGGAGGACAGGTCTGAGGGAACCTGAAAGTTCTGGGGTCACCCTCAGGAAGGCACTAGAAGCAAGGACAGGGGCCTGGGAGCCTGCAGTCCTCAGCAGCAGGCTCTGAGGTGGGGCAGGGGGCAGAACTTGGACCCTCCTCCATCCTGTGGGAGGAGCCGGGGCTGCAGGTGTGGACCCTGGAGGCTTCCACCCAACTGATGTACCGGGCTGCTTCGTTCTCTCCAGAAGGAGCCAGGTCCCAGGGCCGGTCAGGGAGGGAGGCCTTGATTCCTGAGGGGCCACCTCAGTGCACAAACATATATTGAGCACCTATTGTGTGCTAGGCACACTCCCACAGACCTGTTCATTAATTCTCACGACAGCCTTGGAGGGAGGCGATCTATATCTGTCTTGGAAGTGGGAAACAGCCTCAGAGAGGTTGTGTGACTAGCTAAAGGTCACACAGCCTGTGAGAGACTGAGTTGGGATTCAAACCAAGATTTATTGGGTTCCTAGCAGATTCTACCAACCACTGTTTGATATCTGCTCCTGAATCCTGGTCTCAAGGGGTGGAAGTTTTGAGGTTGGAGAAAGCATTCGAGTTTCACCTTGAAGGGATGATTCTCCCATCCCCAGAGTTCAAAGGGACCTCAGTTACTCTTCCTACTGTCAGATTTCCCAGGGTGAATCAAAGGCACTAAAGTTATTGTGTTTAAAGTGACTTTTCACGCATCCCAATAAAGGCTCTGATTTATAGCCACCACTTTGTTTTAAACACGTTACAAGTGATAAAAATCAGTCCTGCAAAAGCCCCTCAAGGGAAACTGTATTAAAGGAAGAAAAGAAACAGCAGATTAGATGTCGCATTAAAAGACAGAGTGACGGATTAAGAGCCAAAGTGTAAATTTAGTGTGACTCGCCAGAAAACGTTGGGGGGCAGTAAATCCAGAGTGACAATCTGTGTATGGTGTACCCATATTTGTTACTTTTATTATACTTTGTTCAGAAGTTGTAGATGGGTCATTATTTAAAAAAAAAAAACCACAACCACGATGCTCCATAAAGCTTAGAAGTGAAAGCGTCTCGTGCTAAGGATACAGGCTAATGACTGAAATCTGAGCCACTGTGTCAGGTCACAGAGCGTTCCAGAATGGAAGTTTCTTCCTGTCATATCCAGAAAACATTCCAAGGAATGTTTTTTTCCGGGAAAAGCTGTTGGAGGATCTGGGACCTTGCCCAGGAAGGCGCGGAAAGGGAGTGCCCATCTTTGCAACGGCAGAGCCCCACTCCCGCCCACCCCAGCACCCTCATCGATGGCAATGACAATGACAGTGATCAGAAAACCAGACACTTCTCCCCATTGCTCATTCAAGGGCCTTCTGAGAGCAAAGGTGGCTGGAACCCAGGACATGTTGGCTCTTCTGTGCCTTGGGAGGTCACAGGTCCGTCTTGATCAGAGATCCTGGAGTAGATTCGATTATTCCCAATTCTTGCCCCTGCAACTGGATGACACACCCATGCCCTCTGCTCTTTGGGTGGGGTACACGTCCCTGCCCATTGACATTGCCCTTGGCCATGTGATTTCCTTCAGCAGATACGATACGAGCAGAGGCTTGAAACTTGCTGTGGTTCTGGAAAAATGAAGTCCTGTGCTATAAACCTGAACACAACGCACGGTGTGGAACCAGGGCCTGCTGAGCTAGGCAAACCCAGACATAACCCAGCTGACCCACAGACCCAGACACAAGAAAAATAAATATTTGTCGCTGTAAGTCACTGGGATTTTTAGGTAGCTTGTTACGCAGCATTATTGCAGCAAAAACTGACTGATACAGACCCTCAGCTGGGCCTACAGGGCTGGATGAATCCACACATGCTCCCCGGTGCCCTGTGAGGGGCAGGGGGCTGCCCCATCTTTTTTTCTTCCCTAGTCAAAGCTGACCCATCCATCAACCAGGATGGGTATGATCAGTCCCTGTAGTACCAGGTGGCTTTCTAGACGCTTGTGGTGGACTCTGCTCAGGGCCTCTGCTCCAGCTGCTCCTCTGCCTTCTACATCTTCCCCCAGACATCTGCTCTGCCTCCTCCCAGGTGTTAGAAACCTCACTGTCTCAAGGAGTTCTACCCTGACTGCCATTGCTTAAGTGTTCTGTTTATCAAGGTATAATCTACATGCAATAAGAGGCATGGAGTTTAAGTGTATAGTTCAAGGAGTTTTGACAAATACATCCAGGTAACCACCACCAGAACCAAGATACACAACACTGACCATCTCTCTTTAAATTTCAAATTGTTTCCCTTTTCCCAATCCCCCACTGCTCTGTTTTTCCTTTCCTATCATACTAATCACCTTGATTCACTTATTGATTTTTATATTTATTTAATTGTCTATTATATTTTTACCCATTTACAATATTATTGTTTATGGTCTTTCTCCCCAAATAATGTAAGCTCCATAAGGGGCAGAAATGGTTGTCTCTCGTGTTCACAGATTTTTCCCAAGAGCGTAGAACAGGACCTGGCCCATAGTAGGTACTCAGTAAATATATTTTGAATGAAGGAATGAATCCCCACTTTACAGATGAGGACAGTGAGGCAGAGGGTGAGTGGATTGCCCAAGGGGACACTGTGGGTTGGTGGAGGAGAGAGGATTTGAACCAGGCTGGTTCCAGAGTACCACGTCTAGTCAGTGGTTCCCGCTGCCCCTCAGGAATGAGGAGATTCACCTGGTTATCCTGGTCCCAGGCCCACCCAGCAGCCCTGCCTTCCCTGAGGCTTCCAGCCCCCAGCCCGCCTCAGCCAGTTCTCATGAGTCTCCTGTTCTCTTGGACAAGCTTCTCAGGCAGAACACAACGTCCACTGATGGTAGAGACCAGCCTGTATGTACTTGCTCTGGACTGTGAGTTCATCAAGAGGGGCGGTCATGTCTGAGTCACATTGGTGTCCCTGTGCCCAGAATAGTGGCCTAACAGGGTAAACACCAGAAATGTCTGTTGAGTCAATGGACGCATGCATGGAAAATTGAAAAAATAGAGACATAAATAGGTATCTGCATTCTCACATTGTGCCTCCCAGAAAATATTCTAGAATCACAAAGTATATCTCCAATGATGGAGACATATTAAGGCAGTGAAGGTTGAGCGGAGGCAGACTTGACAATCAGTTAGAATTTGTTTTGGGGAGATCTGCTACCCCCACGTATCAGTCAAAGCTCCCTCTACCCAAAAGTCTGGCTTCATTTGGGCGAAATGAAGTAAAGAGAGAAGCAATCGAATTGGACAGATGTACACTGAAGTGTGGATGACCTCCAGACCTCACAGCTCCCCCAATTGTTTTAAAGATGAGTTCATAATTTGGTGGAATCTCAAGCATGATTGGGAAGAGGATTATTTGGGGGAAAGACACAACCCCTTAGTCCCAGCCCCAGACCCCTAATCATATAGGCCATGTAGGTAGCGCCCCACTCTGCCTTCTATTTTAAGGTAACTCTGATCACCCCCAAGTCCATTCCCCAGGCCCTGTCCTCCTTGGAGACTCATGGGAAACCGGTCTCCCTAAGGATATAACTCTGAGTGAGTATATTTCTGTTCCCCAAAATTCAAGCTTCTGTCTGTTCTGTCGAGGGAGGTTCTTGGTCATGTTTTAAAAGAAGGCTAGAATTGCTCTCCCAAGGTTTCCCCATGGAGCCCCAGACCCAGACCTTCTTATCAGATGTTATCAGGACCCAGCAGAGGCCTGTGGAAGCGGGAGGGGAGGGGAGACAGAATTGGAGGTCTAGCCAGAAAGTCATTCAGTCTCTTTCTTTCCCTCCATTGTAGAGTGACACATGGCCAGTGTGAGGACGGTGACATGGGGGCTCCTGTAGACCACCCCCTGGCATCCACACTCCTCCCACCGTCACGCTGGCTTGGCCGTGTGACCTGCCTTGGCCAATGGGATGTTAGCAAACTTGACACAAGCAGTGCCTTGAAAAGGCACCTGTGGATTAGAGCTTGTGCTTTCAGAAGATTCCCTCTTAGGACGCTAACCCACCCTGCTGGTGAGACCATGCTGGAGAGAGAGGTATGCCCGGCCAACCCCTAGCTGTTCCAGCCATCCCAGCTGAAGTGCCAGGCATGTGCGTGAAGCCATCCGGAAATTCTGAGCCCCAATCAAGCCCCCAAGTGACTGCAGCTGCATGAGGAATCCCAGATGAGACCAGCAGAAGAGCCATCCAGTTGAGCCCAGCCCAGCTAACAGAATAAATAAATGGTGGTTGTTTTAAGCTGCCAGGTGTGGGGTGATGTGTTACACAGTGTGGTGGATTAAGTTACGTCCATAAATTTTTTGACACTCCCTTCAAAAAAAATGGAGCCTAATTCTCCTCTGTTGGTGTGTGGGCTGGACTTAGTGACTCACCTCTGATGAAGAGCAAAAGCAGAAGTAATCGTGTGTGCCTTCTGAGACTAGGTCATAAAGGGCATTGCGGGGGCTGACCTGGGGCCTAGTGGTTAAGTTCACGCACTCTGCTTCGGCAGCCCGGGATTCATAGGTTCGGATCCCAGGTGTGGACCAATGTACCACTTGTCAAGCCATGCTGTGACAGTGTCCCATATAAAGTAGAGGAAGATGGGCACGGATGTTAGCCCGGGGCCAATCTTCCTCAGCAAAAAGAGGAGGATTGGCATGGATGTTAGCTCAGGGCTGATCTTCCTCACAAAAATAAATAAATAAATAAATAAATAAATGGCACTGCAGCATCTCTCTCTCTCCCTCTCTCTCTCTCTCTGTCTCTCTCTCTCTCATAGCTCACTTTGGGGAAGGCTGGCTGCCATGTTGTGAGGAAATTCAAGCAGCTCTGTGGAGTGGTCCACACGTGAGGAACTGAGGCCTCCCACCAACAGTCGTGTGAGTGCGCCATCATGGAAGTAGATCCTCAAGTCCCAGTCAAACCTTCAGAGGATGGTGGACCACACCAACATCTTGACTGAGACCTCCCAAGAGACCCTGAACCAAAACCACCCAGCTAAGTCACTCCCAGATTCCTGACTCTCAGAAACTGTGTGAGATAATACATGTTTATTGCTTTAAGCTGGTAAATTCGGGGGTAATTTGTTACGCAGCAAGAGATAATCCACACAGCAAGAGATAACTGAAATAACGGTGACGACTCCACAAGTTGTCAGCATCTTGGAACATGACATGGCAAATGGCCTCTGCACCACCCCAGCAACTCCCCTGGAACCCCTAAACCTTCTCTTGATCCCTCAGTTATAAGGACAAGATCCCTGGCCTGGCAGCCATCCTGCAGGTCCCTGGACCCTGCTCTGGCACATGGCCTTGTCCACTCAGAGAGGCCAAAGCCCAGCTCACGGCGATGTCAACTATTTTGACAGCCCCTCCTCCACTCATTCTGGGGATGAGCAGAGAGTCCTCAGAGGATCCTCATGGCTAACTTCATAAGGGAGACCTGTGGTCTCTCCCTCCCATCCCCGCCCTCTCAAAGGGCATTGCAGACAGGATGGTTTGGGGGCGGATGTTTTCCCAGGACATCTGTCTAAGGAACAAGGTCTCCTGTGCAGGGAACTAGAGGGCTGTTGACTCCCACCCTTTCTGGAGCCCCCCACCCCACTGACTTACAAGCAGAAAACATCTTGCAGACCAATGCATATCCATCCAGCTGCTTTCCATCCGTCTCTTTGATGGCTTTCCCTGTTGGTGGAGGGATGTCATTGGGGCATCGCTGAATGAGGCTCTATGTTGAGCTGCCTGTTAGGTTCCACCCGCTCCCCAAAATCAGGCATTTTCATACATTGCTGGTGGGCGTACAGAATGGTACAGTGCTCCCATGCAGGGAAATGTGATCGTAGCTCACAAAACTTTGTGCATTTTCCCTTAACCCAGCAGTCTCACTTCCAGGAACCAACCCCGAAGATACACTTCCAACAATACTGCATAGATATACTGGTGAGTTCTTGCAATGTTATCTGTAATAAACACTCATATATCAGAGAGCCGGCAAATAGCCTATGGTGCATCACATAATGGATACTATGCAGTTGTTAAAAAAAAAAAAATGATCTCCATGTACTGATATGAAGAGATTTCCAGAACGTATTGTTAAGTGAAAAAAGCAAAATATGAGAATGTATTTACTGTTGGGTCATTTTTTATGTAAGAAAAAAGGAAAATAAATACATATACATCTATATCTGCTAATTTTTGCAAACAGAAACACTGAAGGATAACCTCAAAATGAATGAAATCGGGCAGTGGGGGTGGATGGAGGACTTCTCCAACTGCACTTTTTTAATACAGTTTTCACTTTTGTATCAAAAATTAACTCAACAAGGTTGAGGAAAATGCCTAAGAATGATTAAGAACTCAGGGCCGGCCCCGTGGCTTAGCGGTTAAGTGCGTGCGCTCCGCTGCCGGCGGCCCGGGTTCGGATCCCAGGTGCGCACGGAGGCACCACTCCTCCAGCCATGCTGAGGCCGCGTCCCACATACAGCAACTAGAAGGATGTGCAGCTATGACAGACAACTATGTACTGGGGCTTTGGGGGAAAAGTAAATAAATAAAATCTTTAAAAAAAAAAAAAAAGAACATAAATAAATGAACCATACTATGTATCAAACAGAGAACATAACCATATAGAAGGGAAATTTTTCTTAAATAGTTAATCCAAGTTTTAAACAAATCTCCTCAAGCTTTCTTAATTGGCAAGCCTAGTCTATAATATGCACTCAGTAAATGCTTTTGGGAGACAATGAATGAATGAATGAATGAATGAATGAACGACTCAAGAACAAAAGCAGGAAGCTGAGAGTAGTGCTGTCCCCTCAACCCAGATGTCTCTGCTCTGGTCACAATTTATATAATTTAAGGTCTGTTAAGATCGACTTCATGTCACAAAAATGAGCCACAGCTTGTTCCTGTGGCCCACACTCCCAAGCCCCCCCAACTAGATTCTGAAATCCCACCCTTGCCGGCCTCTTCTAGCTCCCCGTCCTGCTCCCCCGACCCCGACCACTTGCCCATGGGAGACCTTCCTTAATAAAACCCTTGCTGTCTTATTTGTTTGCTCGGGCGGCCATAACAAAGTACCACAAACTAGGCAGCCTACAGAAATTCAGTGTCTCACTGTTCTGGAGGCTGGAAGTGTGAGATCAAGGTGTCGGCAGGGTGCGTTCCTTCTGTGGGCTTCTCCTTGGCTTGTGGATGGCCGTCTTCTCCCTGTATCTCTTCACATCGTCTTCCCTCTGTGTGTGTCTGTGTCCAAATTTCCCCTTTTGATAAGGACACCAGTCATACTGGATTAGGGCCCACGCTAATGACCTCATCTTAACTTGATCATCTGCAAAGACCCTACTTCCAAATAAGGTCACATTCACAGGTACTGGGCATTAGGACATCAATGTCTTTTGGAGGGACACAATTTAACTCATAACACTTGCATATGACCTGACTTCGACAAGGGCATTGCTGGTAACTAGCAAGACTGTTGTGAAGATTAATTATTAACACATATATAGCATTAACAACAGTGTTGGGGACACAGCAAGTACATGATTGCTATTTTTATTGTTATTATATACTGAGACATGGTCTCCACTCTCATGAATACCCTAGTGCTCCCCACTGATCTGATGCCATCCCAGCTCATCCCCTACTGGTCATTTTTCATTCCATCCTTAATCATGGCTGTTTGCAGGCTCACCAGGCCCATGGCCCAAAGACAGGTCCAGTTCTGTGTCTTCAAGCTTGGACGAAACACAAACCACTTATAAAATGTCAAGCCAAGGACGAAAACTACCAACGCCACAAGGACAAAGGTTATCTCCTTTTTAGAATGCCGGCAGCCTTAACACTCTGTCGTAGATGTGATTGTAAAATTTCAGCCCTACAGAGGCTCCTTATAATATTTACAACTGTACACAGGATTTAGCATCAAGAAATGCCCAAGGAGCAGGCATGCGTGCTGGGCTGGCAGATATCAGGGTCTTAAGGGATAGGAGCAGGAGGTTGGCACCGTCCATGCTGCTCTTAGGAGGAGGGACAGAGACTAGCAGTGTCCTTTTAGTGCTGGCAGCACACAGACTCATTGTCACTTTTGCAGTGAACTTGGGCCACCGTCTGTCCGGGTCCACCCAGAAAGTGAGTGTCATGGCCCCACAATTCAGTTGGGGTTCAAGAAGCTTGACCACCCCTCCTCTTTCCTTTCATCAAATATTAAGCACTTATTTCAAAGGGGGCAATGAAACAGGAGGCAACTCTGGGTGTGCGGTAGGCGGGCCGCAGCTCTTGGCTTAGTTCAAGGTACAGAGGTTCCGTGTGCTGCCAAATGAAAAGAACGCATTTGCGCGTGGAGAGAAAAGCCCCAGAACAAAAGACAGGGAACAGCACGTGTCCCACTCCTGGCCTTGGCGATGCTTGACATTTCTGGGAAATGAATTTAGCGCAAAAACCAACAATTCAAAACCTTGTGCCAAACAACTGATGTGAATAGAACCAGTGGGAGAAGAAACAACAGGAAGATGAAGCATGTCTGAAAATAGTCATCATTTGCTGCTGTGTCCACGCAAGCAGAGGGAGGCAAGTTGTCAAGAGAGTTTTATTAAAGCAGAAAAAAGGTGGTAGGGGGGCTGGCTATTGAGTATGTGTGTGAGGGGGGGTTGTTGTTCTGCTTTATTCAGATTCTTTGTTTATAGACTCCCAGCCAACTGTCGAGTCTCCCGAGGGCCTGGCTTCTGACCAAGCCGTGCCCGTGGTGTCCCAAGGCCCATCGCACAGGCCCTGCCTCCTCAACATGTCCAACATGGACTTCTTCTCTTCCTGCTCCCACTCAACACACCCCAAACTTACTCCTCTCCACCATTCCCCATCTCAGGGAGAGCTGGTCTCCCCTTTCCCTGGCCCCCATCCAAACTGCCGCCTCCATATCTTCCACATAGAGGCAGCATTAGGCCATGAGGATGGCTACAGGCTCTGGGTTCAAATCCCAACTCTCCCACTTCCTAGTTATATGACCTCGAGCAAATTCATTTCTCTGAGCCTCAGTGTTCTCTTCTGTGAAGTGGGAGTAACAATAGTACCTGCTTCCTATGGCTGATGGGAGACTTCAATGACTCAAAATTTGTAACAGTGTACCGCTGTGCCTGGTCCACATTAAATACTCAAAAACGTTGACTATTATCATTGTTGTTAATATTAATATTTCATCGCTCTCAAATATGCCTCATTTCTCTGTCCCCACTGTCCCTTCCTGCAGAACTGCTCAAACCACCTCCCTTCTTCTCCTCGCCTTCCATTCCCCTCCCAGCAGCCAGAGTGATGGTCAGCCAGGGGGGATCCAGCTCCTGGTCAGGGCCGTCCCTACCCCCCATCTTGGAGGTTCGAGGGACAGCCTTTCCCCCTTGAAGACCATTCCAGTCCTTCCCAGCCCTTAAATACTCCCACCGTGGAGGCTGGAGTCTGTTGAATAAACACCGCCCCAAAACTCATGTCCACCCAGAACCTCAGACTGTGACCTTCTTTGGAATAGGGTTTTTGCAGACGTCATCAAGTTGAGTTCATACTAATTAGCGTGGGCCCTCAATCCAATGACTGGTGTCCTTATAAGAAGGGGAGATGACACAGAAAGATACACACGGAGAAGGCAGCCATGTGAAGACACAGGCAGGGACTGGAGTGAAGCAGCCACCAGCCAAGGAACACCAAGGATGGGTGGCCACCACCAGAAGCCGGAAGAGGCATGGAAGGATCCCCCCTAGAGCCTTTGGAGGGAGTGTTCGGCCGTGAGGATGGGTACAGCTTTGGGAGCCAGACTGTCGGGGTTCTGAGCTCGAATCCCAGCTTTCCCACAGAGCCCTGCCGACACCTTGAGTTTGGGCTTTTGACCTCCAGAACCAGGAGAGAATAAATTTCTGTTGTTGTAAGCCACCCAGTTTGTGGTAATTTGTTACGGCAGCCCCAGGAGACTAACACAGAGGCCCATCCCACCTCACCCCTGGCACCTTATAGCACTCTCGTGCCCTCATGAAACACCATTTATAATCAACAACACAGGAGGCAAACCACGTCCCTGCTGCCTAGCAGCCATAACACGACATTTTGTAGATGTTTAATTAAACTTGTATCGATTATGATTTTATAATTTTTTTTCCATGTTTCACAGCCAAAAATTGCTTTTCCCAGGTCTCAAATGCTTTCTTCAGCCTCTGAAAAGCCTACAGCCCAAGGACCCCGTGCCTTCCAGCCTTGGTAGATGGAACATTCCCACCCCACTGCCTCATCTCCTGACTTGAAGATGCCCCTGAGGACAGTCCAAGGCCTGCCCAGGAGGCCACACGCTGTCCTTGGTCAGGGGAAAGCTGGCCCGCCTAGCAAGGCCAGGGCCCGGCATCACAGTGCCTCTCCTGTTTGGGACATGGAGGGGGCAGGTGTCCACTCTCTCCCCACTCTCTGGGCCCTGGGCTGTGGTCAGGTGACCTGGGCTCCACCAACAGACCCCCGCAGAGCCCCGTAGAGGTCTGGCCACGGGCATGGGGCGCAGGTCAGCAGAGACCCTCCCGACCACTCCTGGCCTTCTGTAAGCCTCTTGACTCTCTTAGAGATCAAGCTGTTAGGGGAGCAGAGCTCAATGCCTGACCTTGGGGACAAGCCCCCCCGATCCTGCCCCGCCTTCCTTTTGTCAATCCCACCCCTGCTGCCTCAGCAGCCCCCACTTTGCAGCTCTCCTGTGAGCCTCAGCTTACGCCTGTCCACCACCTGGAGGGCCCCTCCTGCCCCTCCTGTGACTCAACGCTACGTTCGCGAGATTCTCCCTTTAGAGAGGCGGTGGCCTTGGACTGGATACACAGGGTTCATGCCAGCACTCGTGGTACCCGGAGCCACATCCTTCCCCGAGCCTCAGCTTCCTCACGTGACCAGCAGGAGCACTGCCACCAGCCCAGGTGCGTGCGAGGATTCCACGGGTTTACACCCCAGGCACAGAGTAGGTGCTGGTTCACGGTTCACTGGTTCACAGGGCGGCCAGGCTGTGCTGCAGGACAGAATATGACGTGAATGCGGCCAAGCTTAGCAGGCAGATAATGCCACCCGGGGAAGAGACCAGTGCGAGATT